ACATAATGCAAAATAAAACGAATGCAAATAGGACAACATGAATTCAAAATAGAAAAAAGTCACCAGTATTTTTAAAATACTGACATACAAAAGGTAATCTCCTGTTTGGGCTCTCAGACAGTTTTATACCAGAGCCACTGTTAGCTTGTTGTGTGGGTTTTCAAGTCTAAAGCAATATGTTTTTGCATTTAACTTGAAGTTCATCTACAAAACAAATTGTGTGCTGTTCTTAGAAGCCTGTAGGAGGTTAAACTCTTTCTGGTTTAAGATATGTCTGAGATTGTCCCAGCAGCCTGTCAGTAGCAACACTCTGTGTCTGCTTGGTGAGTTGTGACTTTTGTTGGCTGCATTGAGAGACAGGGACTTCCTGGAGCACACGAGGAGATTTTCCTATTTCTTTGTTGCAGCACTGTCGAATAGGTATTCTTGGTATTTTTGCTATTCCCTTAAACCTCCCATCTCCTGTGATTTCATTTGGAACATCCATTAAAGGTATTCCCCAGAAGATAGCAATAAGGCAAAAGGATAAATTTTACTTTTTATCAGTTTTCCCTGGTAGTTGCAAGTCTATGGCATGTGGAAGCAAGGAATGAAGAAACACATGCTGTTGGAGAAGGTATAAAGATAGATGTACTGGAAAAGATACAAAGGCAGACTCCTTTGGCAGCACACTCCAGAAGTGGTACAGAACTGCTAAAACCTGCAGCCCAGCAGCCATCACAGTGATAAGGCAGCCCTTTTTTTTTATCCTGGAAATGTGCCTTTGTACCTACTCTTACTGTGTAGTGCTGATTCTTCCTCTTGAGCTTAGCACGTACTAATATAAATTGTCTCTTCTATCAACTGTTCTATCATGCTGTATGTAAAGACCCTCAAGTTTCACCAGCACACAGGTACAGCATTTTGCTGGGCTCTGTTGAGTCAGGCATTGCTGAAGTTTTGTCAGGAGAGTATCCTCTTTTCCCTCTCTGCTTTGTCATTTTTCTGTTCACCAAGTTTTACATCAACAAAAAATAGGAGTACTTTACATGCTGAGTGAGAGTTGATTTTGTCAAAAGACAGCTCAAACATGTTTCACTTGTCTGGGAACAGGCATTGCTGTTAATTGTTTGTTCTTGCTCTTTTGTGGTGCTGTGCAGCTGAGTGAACCTGAGTGATTAATGAACCTGGGCAGTGTTGGTCTGCAAAAGTCTCCAGTACGGATGTGCCAGTTCAGGACAGTGGTTTTGTTGGTGTCCTCTCTAGAACTAATGTGCCCTTAAAAATATGAGGAATGTGATTCTTCCTTGTGCACCAATTTTAAATATGAATGATGTAGGTACAATGATTTATTAAATGGTGTTTGTGCTTTGTGTGGGAACAGAGAACCGAAGTTTCTGTGTATTGCCAGGAATCAGGGTCCTGTTTTACAATAAACACTGAAGTTCTTTGAGAACCTGTTTGTCAGCTGCAGATTTTTCTTCTACTGCCAAACCAACAGCCGTCTAACACTGCAAATCACCAGGATGGAAACATCATTTTTGGCATTCCAAAAAGTCTCAACACATAAGCTCCTGGGCTTCTAGGTGCTTATTTCCTTGTTCCAGTCTTCTGGGATTAATTGGCCGGTGAATACATTCCATGCTTTTTTTGTGTGTGTGAGTCTTCTTTAGACTTCCCATTCTTCTTTAGTCTTCTTTAGACTTCCCATTTTCATTGCTGCACAGGAACTCTGCTGTTAGTTTTCCAAATAACATGGAACCAGCCTGTCTGCTCTCAGAATGGTCAATGTGATTGTTGCCAGTCAGCTGAGTGATGCTCAAAGTTTTCTGTTGGAAAATCAGGCAACAAAATACTTTGGAGATCACAGAGGTAAATGGTAAATGGGCCAGGGCAAGCACACTCTCAGTATATGCAAAAAAAAAAAAA